CCTGATGTCCTCTCTCCTCTGTCTCTGCAGGCAGGGGCGGTCAGTCTGCACTGCGTTTTGCCCGGTTGCGGATGGAGAAGAGACACAACTACGTGCGGAAGGTGGCAGAGACAGCGGTGCAGCTCTTCGTGTCCAACGACAAGGTCAACGTGGCTGGCATGGTGCTAGCTGGGTCTGCAGACTTCAAGACCGAGCTCAGCCAGTCCGACATGTTTGACCCGGTAGGGCCCGCGGAGCTCTGGCTGTCAGGCATGCAGGCGGGGTGTTGTTTCCTCAGCATAACATTGCGCAGGGGCAGGTGGGGGGCACACTGGGGGGCACCACAGAGAACTCCCTTGAGAACAGCACTTGACTGTGCTTTGTGCGTATCATGCAGTCCCAGGATGAACATACTCTTTCTGTCTGTCTTTCTTAACTCTCTCTCTGTGTGTGTGTTCAGAGCTGGTGTGTGACTCTCAAATCCAATGAGATTTATTGGCATAACCGATGAATTAGTGTTCCCAAAGGACACACGATAAGCAACTTTTACAGTACCAACACAATAATTGGACTTTTACAAACAAAAAATAAAACAGGACTTCACTGTTGGACCGTATCACTGTCTGGCTCTCGGGCTGTACTTTACTACTTTCTTCTGTGTGCTGTTTAGTAATGGCCGTTGGGCTAGTTTGACCTTGCACACAATATGAGGAGTTTTTCTCTAAACCCAGTATGTTTTTACAGAACTCGGTGTTCCCCACAGAACTCCTGTGGGCTGTTTGTCCCATTAAGTGCAGTCCTGGTCTGTGAGTGGACCTCATACTACACTACCACATAGGACATTGGAATCAAACCCACTTTCAAATTAAATTATAACCAGATCTTTATGTGGGTGGGGTTGATATTGTGGAGTGTAGAAATGACATCGAAAGCCCCATACTAGGTCAGCACTGCCACATGAACTGATTGTCAGTGCAATCTATGTGTAACTGGTTGTGTTTTAGTATTATCTGTTTCCCAGGATCTGTCTTGTGAAGAACCACTACTCAGGTCTTGTCCAGATTGACAGTCTGACAGTACTGCTCCAGCAGGACCAGGTCATCGGCGTAGAGCAGGAACTTGACCTCCGTGTCTCTCTGTTTCACCAGAGGTTGCAGGCGAAGGTGCTGAAGCTGGTCGACATCTCGTATGGTGGAGAGAACGGCTTCAACCAGGCCATCGAGCTGTCGGCCGAGGTGCTGTCCAACGTCAAGTTCATCCAGGAGAAGAAGCTCATTGGTACGCTGCCATCTGGGCCAGGGCTGCTCTGGGGGCACCGCGCAGTGTGGGCCTGCGGGGTGCTCAGCCTCTCCCTGTCCCCCCTCAGGCCGGTACTTTGACGAAATTAGCCAGGACACGGGGAAGTACTGCTTCGGGGTGGAGGACACGCTGAAGGCTCTAGAGATGGGCGCAGTGGAGATCCTCATCGTCTACGAAAACCTCGACATCATGCGCTACGTCCTGCGATGTCACGGCACCGAGGGTACGGGCCTGTCGCCACCATCCTGGTCTCTCGCACGCTCGCATCCACGCACCCGCAATGTCACCACCATCCTGGTCTCTCGCACGCTCGCATCCACGCACCCTCACCACCATCCTGGTCTCTCGCACGCTCGCATCCACGCACCCGCAATGTCACCACCATCCTGGTCTCTCGCACGCTCGCATCCACGCACCCGCA